ATTTGAATCCAATGTAATTACAGACTGCGTAGAAATCCAGCTCGGGCTGTGTGGAAGTGTACAGCGTACACACTGTACGTCAGCTTTGTGTGTGTGTGTGTGTGTGTGTGTGTGTGTGTGTGTGTGTGTGTGTCTGTGTCTGTGTGTGTGTGTGTGTGTGTGTGTGTGTGTGTGTGTGTGTGTGTAAATGTATTTGATATTTGGACAGTTAAGCGAATTTGCAGCAGGCAAGCTGATGCTTGTGTATATGGATGACGGTCTAGCAATTATCACCCTGTCTCCAGGAGCCTGTCAGGACCTGCCTCCACTGGTCTGCCATGTAGAGGCAGGGATGGATGGATGGATGGATGGATTGCATTATACAGCGCTCTGGTTGTCATGATCACATCATAACATTTTTGGATGAATTACTGGTTGTTTCCTGCATATATGATAAAATGAGCAGAGGAAATTTATGTTCGTCGCTAGGCTAATTTATACAATGTAAAATGCCATACCGTTGTACTAATAACATTAGCATGTTGTATTTGTCTGGAAAACGTGTTTAGTGTAAGACAGTTGTTTTGTCAGTGAACTTAGTGAGTTGTAATGGAGCCAAATTTTGCAGCGTTACCTTTGTTATTTGTCGCTGTTGTCCCTGGTATGAGAAGAGGAAAAGTTCGCTAGCTGCTAGGCTAACTTATACAATGTATAATGCCATAGACTTGTGCTAATAACATTAGCATGTTGTATTTGTGGGGAAAATGTGTCCGGATTAACACAAGTGTTTGTCTGTGAATGCTGCGAGTTATAGTGAAGCTGATTTGTGTGCTTGTGTTTGAAATTGTCTCTATTTAGCCGTGTTTAATGTGTGTTTTGAATCAACTAAACTTTACAGCACTTCACAGAAACCCCGCTGCCGACTGTTTTGGAGGTGTAACTGCAGAGTGACACAGACACACCACCGCACAAGTAGGCTATAAATGCTCACAATGGCTTAGGCGACATGCGTAGGCAGCATGTGTAGGCGATGGCGTAGGCTACGGCATAGGGTCTGCCACACAAGTATAAATCACGCTTTAACCTCAAGAATAAAGAGGAGTCCAAGAAAATGAGCATATCACCATTAGTCCGACATTATGGAAATGAGGGTTGGCAGTCCATAAAGTTTATATGTAGCAGTTCTTTGCAAAGCTTGTTTTTAGACGACATGATCTGTTCATTATGGTTAGTCTGATACCTCATAAAATTGTCACCAGATTTCACTGAAAACTGGTGGATAGTTAAATCAAATTGGCCAAGGTTTATGGTGGTATGGTATGTAATCCATTCCTTTTCTTCCTTCCTTTCTGGATTTCCTCTTTTGACTCACCTTGAAAATTTTTTTCCAGATCACTGACAAAGCAAAATAGTCTCTTTTGCCCTCAATCATGTTTGTTCTTTCCATACTTTCTATGTCCTGAAACAAAACCCAGTTTATCCATCACTCACTCAGCGTCTCGTCTGTACAAAAGGATCATATACTGTACCTTTATCAATGCTTAACTTCACTTCTGACAGTGACACACAGAGGTGGTCTCACAGATTTGTGTGTATGCGTGTGCGTGCCTATGCCTCGCCTGTGCATGTGCACACTAGTCTGTGTGGTGGACGAGTTGAGACGTCTCCCTTGGCATCTGTGCCCCGGAAGAGTGAGAACACAAAAAGTAATTTATGACTTTTTCATGCACTCTGCGATGTTTAAAAACGATATCACCAAATGTTGATCCCTGTTGATCCCTAGGCTTCTTTCTTTTTGCAATGATCCATTTTACAGTAATTCTGGGCCAACTGGAGTTCAGAGTGGAGGGGGAATTTTAAATCATCATCAACATCATGTCAGTGTGGCGGTGTGTAAGATTGAAATAATATTAATCATGGCCAAAGTGTAAAACCAAAAGAAGTTATTCTGTGACCCAGCTGGCACCATCATATACCATATCTACATACGTATATAGTTGCGTTGTGAATGGTCTAGGTAAATGGTTTCAGTATCATTGTAAGTTCACAGTTCACAGTCTTGTCTTTAACATTTGGCCCCTGGACTTAGTCTCTATTTCCAAACACCTTCAGAAAGAAAGTTTTTGTCTACTTAAATGACTGACAAGCTCACAGGACCGTACATGTCCTTTAATACGAACAATATTTTGTTGGCAAAGTTACATTGTGTCATTGCGTAATGATGCTGTAAACATGGAAAATTTTAAAACTCTCCATGCTGTCTTCACAGTCTCCCTGACATTTGTCGAACATTTGTAAGCCAAGTGCTAAGAAGCCTTGATGTAGAGGGCACTATAGATACCAAAAAACAAAGTCAGTGCACTGCCTGCATTTTTCTAAACAAACTCATCTCTAACCATTTCTAACCATCACCATGACTGGATATCAATGACTCCATTCTGTGATGCCTCTAAAACATTAAACCACATTTCCTATGCTCCTTTTCTGAAATGCTAAATGAGTTAATATGCTTTGCAGCACGACAGAAAGAATATTAACTCATTTAGCATTAGATCAGTTTTGGAGATGTGATTGTTGCTGCGGGAAAAGTCCCCAGGTCTGTAAATAAAGAAGTCTGTTTGGCTGTTGCATCTCAGAGAAATTATTTATTCATGGTATGGACGCGGGCTGTCGAGACTTGTCATGGAAAGTTAGGTGGGAAAAGGTAATGTTGTGCACAGGTATTTCCATTGCCCTCAAGGGACGGCTCATGGCTAAGGGTGTGCATTTATATGTGTGTGTGCGAGAGAGGGTTTACAATGTGTGTGTGGTTGTGAGGGGCTTAGTAACGGTGTCACAACAAGGAATCCAATCAGTTGTTGGTGCACAAATGACTTTTTCCCAGCCTCGTTTGGGCCAGAGGCTGTCTGGTGTCTGGGTGAATCAACTCCAAGTGTGGATCACCAGTGGGACATTTTAAAAAGTTCTTACATTTATATTTGAAGAATTTAACATGTTCATGCAATAGAGAAACCTTTTTAAAGACAATGATGAGAGGAGCAATATAGGCGAAAGCATGACATGACTTCTGCAGTTAAATTGCTCCAGCAGCAATTTTAGGGACTTAAGATAACCGTAATCTCGATTTTTAAAACTTTAGAAAGGTGTATAATCTAAAATTTGCTGGATAAAAACTTTAAAAATGAAGCTTAAAACGAGATGCTGCTTACCCTGACTTACCATGAAGATGCAGACCATGTAACTGATAGGGCCAGAGTGCGACCATTCATCTGTCACTCTCTCTTCTTCCTCTCTTCTCATCTGCTTCTTTCTTCTTTTTCTCGCCTTTTAAATACAAAAAGGTAAAATGCCTTACAAATTCATATACAGCACGACAAATCTTGAGCTGCATGTACTGTATTTCTGCCACAGAGTGCGCTGTTGCATTTGTATTTAGACCCACTGTAGCATGTCCACACAGGACAACTGTCTTCTTTTTTTCTGGAAGGTCTTAGTTTGATGTTCACATGGAGGATTTCTGAGATTTCATGATTGCGTTGGGGCATGTTAAGGCTTCTCCATCCCTTGTCCCAGTGTCTTCGGATGTGTCTGTACTGGCATTTACACACATATGTTCATGTATGTGTCTAAAAGCCTGTAAACTGAGGAATCACTTAAGACATGGCTTTAGCACAGCCTAGCATATTCTCATTGAACTTCACTGGGACTGACTGACAGTGACAGATTAATTATCATCCTCTTTTTTTTCAGCTGGTACACACACTGAGACACAATTCATTTTTTTCCAAACTGGTCTTTCGAACTTCCAGCTTCTCCTCCGCCAGCTGTAGCATCTCACACATTACTACCCACAAACCCAGTCTGCTGGATAATAATCATATATTCATTCTAATAACACAGTAATTACCTTTGCCACACAGACGTTAATTTAGTGCTGACTGTTTTACGGTCCTCGTGTATTTTCCCTTTACTCTTCCTTTCGTGCTTTCCCTTTCCTTAAATGACACAATTTGTTCTCCAGTCATGATTTTATGTGATAATTACAGTGTCCTGTGGTCACAGCCTGCTACTTTATCATCATATTATCACCCAGCTCGTTATTTGTCCACCTTGTCTGCTGTTTTTTGAAATACTTTTTTGGCTGCTGTGCTGATGGATGACTTAATGGTTCAAATCACATGTTATTTCAGTTTGAAACAACATTTCCACCTCCCAAGATATTATTTTTGCTATGATGTCAGTGGTAACAGTCTTAGGGATTAAAGGGTTATAATCACTCCGTTTTCTTTTTTAATTTTCTTGTTGGCTCTTTTATTAACTGCTTTAAGTCTGACCCAAACAGGTGACCTGCGGTATAACACAGTAAGCGTTCAGTTGCGCTTTTGCATAGGAACACACATTATATGTTGATAAAATGTAGTACCAAAGGAAAGGGCTGCTGCAAGATAGAGCGGTAAAAATATTCTCAATACAGCGTTCACTTAGACAGATATTAATTTAGGACTTTTTTAAATGGCAAGCTAGTCCCCTCTGCTTTTCCAAACAGCGAGCGCACCAACTGCCTGAAGTACCTCATACAACCCCACTTCAAGAAATCTAAAAGCCTCCCATATTTTTTCCCATCTTCAGTTTGTCTATAGCTACGGCTCTCAGTTTAAATGTCTTTCAGTTTAGTTTGCAGGTTGTTCAGAAAATATAGATGTGTAGGCATTTATTGATATATGCTAGATAACTTGTGGGTCTGATTCTTTTTGTATGATCTTGCCCTAAAGTGTTAATTAGATGTTCAAATTAGAAGAGAAAGAAAGATTTCCTGCAGCTGTGGATGACACTTTAACACAACTATGATCAGCAAGTTGTCGGTCTAAGCATTAGCTCACACTCATGTGACTGACGGATTGTGATATTCTGAGGATATCTGAAGCAGACAGCTCTTTCATCGCATCACTGTATCATATATCAACGCAGAGCACTGACTCAAGCCTCTCCGGTCCTGTTTGTGTGTTCTTTTCCCACCCCAGTACTCTCCCTTGCTGAAGAAGCTCTACTGTCAGATTGCCAAGACCTGTCCAATCCAGATCAAGCTGTCCTCCTCGCCTCCTCATGGCAGCATCATCAGAGCCATGCCCGTCTACAAAAAGGCAGAGCATGTCACAGAAGTGGTCAAACGCTGCCCCAACCATGAACTAGGACGAGACTTCAATGATGGTATGATCGACAAGCCTTGTCCTTTGACCATACTTTGACATTTTATAATTGTTGTGAAATCACCCAGGAGAGGATAAGATACATAATTCATTTATCATAACTTTTTGTGCATTAAACATTAATAAACGACTTCATGGTGTCTGGTATGTGTGATACTTTGACTTGGATCAACCATCTATTCCTGACCTGTGCTTCCATCATTCTCTCCACAGGTCAAACAGCCCCCGCCAGTCACCTGATCCGAGTGGAGGGGAATAACCTATGTCAGTACGTGGATGATCCTGTAACTGGCCGGCAGAGTGTCTACTTGCCGTATGAGGCTCCACAGGTTGGTGCTTCATCTGTTACTCTGTATCATGGAGACAAGCAATGCATTGTACCTCAGGGACTGGACTCAAACATCAGGAATTATGGTCTGGAGTGAATGTACAAAATATTTGGGATATGTAATCTTTTCATGGAGTATACTGATGAGGTGAAGACTCTGTGATTTCCATTATACCAGTTAAAAGGAGGTGTTGGGTTGAAGGCAAATAGATGCTGGCAGAGAAAGCCTTTGAAAAATGAGATGTTAAATGTGGAATGTGCAAATGTTTTACACTTCCCAATATCTGAAAGATGTCCTTAATATTTTGCACATTCAGCCCAAATGTAGTTGTTCAAGACACAGAATGAATCAGTCAAGCTCATACCAAAGAAACAGCCAATTTCAATGGGGTATTTCATGGGAAGCATGTCTATAAATAAAGATGCCGGGCAGGTCCAAACAAGCACAAGAGTGAGAAATCATCATGTCTGTGATTGCACCTGAGGAGGTTAATGAAAAAGCTCAACTGTCTTGCCTCACACCAGATTGCACTGCAACACTGCTCTCTGGTGGTGGATTGAGAAACTTCCTCTAAGATGGGAGGCTCGGTCGTGTGCTGATGTGCAGATAGGGAGAAACAGTTTGAGCCACAAGACCAAACCAAAAAGCAAATAAGCAAACCATTTATTGGTGGGCTTCACTGTTTTGTGTTTCAGGTGGGGACTGAGTTCACCACCATCCTGTATAACTTCATGTGCAACAGCAGCTGTGTTGGCGGGATGAACAGGAGACCCATCCTGATTATCATCACCTTGGAAACCAGGGAGTAAGTGAGCAATTCATGATTCTACAGTTTAAACAGGGTTACAAGCACTTCTCAGTGCTTTGTCATGCACTTTATTTTAATTCTTTCTGGTACTTCTTGGATTTAAGAATTTACAAATGTTTCACGACATGTTAGAGAATTGGAATGTTAGAGAACCTGTATTTTCTTAACAAACATCACCTGATGAGTATATTTTCTATCCCCAATCATCTCTGCAGTGGTCAAGTGTTGGGCAGAAGGTCGTTTGAAGGTCGGATATGCGCGTGTCCGGGCCGAGACCGCAAAGCAGATGAGGACCACTTCAGGGAACAACAGGCCCTGAATGAGAGTGTGGCCAAAAATGGCAGTGCCAACAAGCGCAGTGAGTTTAATAGAATTAAATGACACGTTCATGTTAACCACACAGTTAACTGGTTAATTGACTTTGAAGTATTGGTCTTGCTGGCTGGCTGCTGGTGTACATTCAATCAGCACTGACCACAATGGTCCAAGATATCTCCGCCCTCCAAAAGACTAAGATTGTGTGAGAAACCTGTTTGATCATAATTCTGTTTCTGTTGTTTGCAGACTTCAAACAGAGTCCGCCAAATATTCCAAGTCCGAATATTAACATGAGGAAGAGGCGGCATGGAGAAGAAGAGATTTACTATATTCCTGTAAGAGCCTTTCAAACACTTTGCTATCTGATGTATGCCATTTTCACTCTTTAAATAGTCAAATTCTTTCATGTGGCAGTATGTGGAAATATTTATGCTAACTGCAAGAGAGCAAGAGAGAAAAAGCATCGTATGAAACACTGAAAACAAAAATACCATTTTTATGCAGACTCACCAGTCATTATTCCCTGACTGCCAATGTTATATTATTGCATGTGTTGTGTTTGTGTGCAGGTTCGTGGTCGGGAGAACTTTGAGCTGCTGATGAAGATTAAAGACAGTTTGGAGCTGGTGGAGCTAGTGCCACAGCCACTGGTGGACTCCTACAGACAACAAACACAGCAGCAGCTTCTGCAGAGACCGTGAGTCACTCCTGCACTAACATATGCACAAGCACATAGACAGCTGCTGGTACACATGCATACACATACACACACATTCCGTACATGAAGGTGTGACTGTAAAGATTAGATCAGCCCAAACACACACACACACACACATACAAAAAGGCACATAAACAACATGCAGATTTTTTATGACTAGTTTTTCAGCTGGAGTCTATGAGTACAATGAAGGAAAGAAGTTATAAACTCAGAATAGAGTGATCCTCACAAAAAGCTAAATTTAAAGTCTTGCCGCCTTCATCAAACTGTTGCAAAGTGTTTTTTGCACTACCTAACACACAGCCACACACAAGGCTTTTCATCCTGCTCTTAGCCCTAAGCTGAGGGAGCTGTTAGTCTGGGGCTGAGAAAGCGTTTACAGAGACACAACCTTGACTCATTCCAGGTAGGCTAACCCCATCTTCAGCCTTGGCCCTGCTTTGGAGCAGGGTTATCCAGGGCTAAAAGTTGCCAGTGTAAAACAAGGCTAAGTAAACCACAGAATTTTAGAATGTTGACATGAATTATGTGATCCACCTGACATTTAACCCAGGGCTAGGAGAAGTGCAGTATGAATGGTAAAGCCCTTGGCTTATGTTAAGCCTGGGTTGACAACGTGAAGGTGCTTTCACACCTGCCCGGTTTGGTTCGGTTCAATTAAACTCAAGTTCGCTTGCCTCCTACTTGCAGTTGTTTTGGGCAGGTGTGAACACAGCAATCACACTCGGGTGTGCACCAAAACAACCAGACCGAGACCTTCTTGAAGAGGTGGTCTCGGTCCGGCTACAAACAATCTCTGGTGCAGTTTGTTTGTGGTGAGAACGTGTATCCACCTCGAACTGAACCAACTGCAGTCACATGACACATTGTGTGGGTTAAACATGAGCATGTTATAGTCCTGGAGTATTATTGTGCACCTCCTCCTGTACTGCCTTAATATGTGCATTCGGCGCATCCACTCCCTCAAAACATTGTTTTCTAGTTGGAGCCGCGCCTCGTTTTCAAACTATATGGTTTGACTAAAATGGACAATGACAGCAATATAGTCCACGATGACCAGCACTAAAATCAACCTGCGTAGTTGTCCCTCCATTGTGACATTAGAAAGTGTCACATTTATCTTGCAGGTGTACTCTTCTTCAATGTTTTATTTACTTCCTGGAGTTTTCCTGCGTGGATATTCTGACCAATCAAGGGCAACTTTTGCTTGTAAATGCTGCTGTGAGAACACAAACCAACTCGAGGCAGTTATGCAACTTCATAAAAAAATTAGTCCCTGATTCGGACCAAAGCAAGACAACTCTATGTCTGAAAGCCCCCTTAAAGGGGTTAAGTAAGCCCAGGATCAACCCCTTGCCCAGGGATAAAGATAACCCTGGGCCAAGAGAGCACAGTGTGAAAGGTCTAACGCGAATCATTCTCTTCTTTTCTCTAGGAGCCACATAGCATCCCCCTCCTCTTACTCTCCACTGTCCAACATGAACAAGCTCCATGCCCACGGAGGCCTCAACAAATCAGCCTCGGTCAACCAGCTGGTGGGGCAGCAGCCCCAGCAACACCACACTGCCCCCACCTCCATACCTCATATGGGTGAGCATCTATGTGTGTCATTCAAATCAGATCAGATGAACTCATTAAGCAGGTTTCAAACCAATTTGCTATAAAGTTTTCTAAACAGAAAATATCAATACCAAGTCAGCCTATTTATCATTTCATTCATTTGCCATTATTCATTGATCACCACTCCCTTTCTCACAGGTTCAAACATGCTCAACAGCCACCACATGCAGGGAAATGGTGATATGAACGGAGGCCACGGCAGTCAGACTTTAGTGTCTGCCTCCCACTGCAGCCCGCCCCCTCCGTATAACCCTGACCCCAGCCTAGTCAGGTACCTCACCCTCCAATGACACTCCTTCTTTATCCTCCTGTAAAGGGCCAGCAGACAATCAGATGCACTTGTTGGGTTAAATATGAATGGGTGCCATGTCGATGCCAGTACGGCTACTTTTTTTGGCCATGTTCGTACAAATTTCGTCAACAAGCAGCAAAATGTGTCTAGATGGAAATGTGTTAAGCAGTCAGTTTGCTTTGATTATGGCTGCTTTGTAAAGGCTTGCAGTTACATTACAAATCTCCTTGCAACCACGGCTGATGTCATAATGCGGGTCTACTGGAGAGTTGGCTGCATGGAAAACTGGAAAGATGTTACCTTGAAAGGTTGTGTTAAGGGGAGTGTGTTGACGCTAATATTTTAAGTAAAAGCAAGTGTGTATTGATATGTTTGATTCCAGACTTTGCTCCCATAGAAAAAAACGTTCCTGTCCCCAATACTACAAGAATTGTCTAAAAGTGTCTGTCTTTGTCTTTGTTAGCCAGCGAAAAGTAATTTACAAAACAATTGGTATTCTTGCCAAAGCTACTTCCTATCCAGTCTACATCAGATGTGTTGATCAGCTCCCATTCAAAAACAGCACATTAATCATGTCTGTTTACTCTGCTCATTCAGCCAAGCTGCTCCAGACTTGTAGACCTCCACTATGGCTGCCAGAGGGTTTGTTATGTCACCCAAAAGCCCAAAACTGTGTGATACACTTTAGATTTAAAATCATTCACACTGTCACTGTGTATACAGCCATCCTTTGCAATGCACTACATTGAATTTTCTTCTAAAGAAATTTCCATTGTTTAAGTTCTGTTTAATTTAAAACGTTTTTTCATATTTTTTTCTAAGATAATGTGTCAATGCAGTCATTTTAATACTTAGACTTTGCTTTTGCAATTTTAACATTTTTGATACAGCAGACTTTGTCCACCTTTTTGGTTTCTAGATTGTCATGTTTATTGTACAGTTAAATTGTACAGCTAGCTTCTTTATTCGATTACACTGTATGTTGCCAAAACGTCAACATTTCATGTATTTATAATAAAGGTTCTTCATCAAAGCAAGAATGGCCTTATGAATCATTAATATAAATGCATGTTTATGGTTTTACTTTCACTGCATCTATCAAGATGTAACATTCCTGTAAACGTGAGGCTAGATCTGTGCCATAATTCTTTCACTAAGCTTTGAACTAAAGTGATATTAGCTTGAGCGGATTGTGACGTAACATGACTGAATAAGATGCTTTACTATTCAGTTTTGTCTAAAACTAAATACTGACCCTAATTATCAAGATGGGAATTTTTTTATTCTACTCAAGCATACCTAGGCTTTTCAGCTGTGTTACTAGAGTTGATTTTTATATTATAGTCCTACTTTTAGCCGTGTAGCTGTGGTCCAATGGCAGTCTAAGCAGCCCTGCTTTTCTCCCCTTACAGTTTTCTAACCAGTCTGGGCTGTCAGAACTTCATTGAATACTTCACCTCCCAAGGCCTCCAGTCTATCTACCATCTCCAGACTCTCTCCATGGAGGTAACCACTCCCTTCTTGCACTCACAACTTCACAGTGAAAATAACTTTTTCCGTACATAGAGCTTCACAGAAAACAAAGAGAAGGGAAAAAGGAAACAGTAAAGGAAAGAACAAACAATGACGAACATTAAAACAGTTATCTTAAAAAAAAAAGTAAAGAGAAGAAACATTTTTGAAAAGGCAATCATTTTGCCTAATCACACCCTGTGTGACCCAGGCCTCCAGGAAATGTGCCTGGCTTTGAAGCCAATTCTCATAGTGGCCAAACAGTGGTACTGCAATTTCCAGCGTCCATTACGTGATGCTTTTGTTCCCAAAAAGACTTTTCCCCATAGACTTAAATTGGGAAAGAGGCATCTGTAAATCTGTGGATACATTTTTTTGAGCATCACAACACCCCGCAAAATAACTCCACCACTGAGAACAGTTGTAAAGTCTAAAAGAGCTGCAAGATTGAATTATTTTATCCCCATTCAAGTTAGTGGAGCACTAAACTAGAAGTCTGCCACTCAGGTGTCCTCGGCAGCCGTAAGTCTCTAGTGCGCCTGCTCTATGGGCCCAATGATGTGGAAGCAGCGCCGATCTTCTGGGTAATTTCATACCACAGAAAAAGAGCTTTTCTCACTTGAATGAATGGGGGCCCGCAGCCAATGCTTTGTCCAGGTCTCTTAATACATCCATGGTGTGACCACTAGTGATGATGTACAGAGCAGGCCCCATATTATTTGTGTCTATAAGCAAACATGCGGATGCACTCTTTGGTTATCTTATTGGTTATCTTCTTTATAGTTTTCTCCCACGTTCTTACACTTCTCCAATGTCTAACTTTGTGCCGTCACCAGGATTTAGGTGCACTGAAGATACCGGAGCAGTCCCGCCTTGCCATCTGGCGAGGTCTGCAAGACATGAAACAAGGTGCTCCCCTCCAACTGCCTGCCTCCACTCATCACCATGACTATCATGGCCAGCAGCTTCTTCGCTCCAGCAGCAACATGACTGCCTCTGCCATGGCGGCCATCGGGGCTGCCAGTGGGGAACTCCAACGTCAGCGCGTCATGGAGGCTGTGCATTTTCGTGTCCGCCACACCATCACCATTCCCAACAGGTCAGGGGTCGTTGGGACGTCAGGGATGGCAGCAGCTACTGATGAGTGGGCTGACTTTGGTTTCGACATGCCCGATTGCAAGCTGTCACGCAACAAGCACTCCATCAAGGAGGAGTTCATGGACAGTGATGTTCAATGAGCCTGAAGAGAACCTCTTTGGACTGGTTTTCCAATATGACTGTCAGCAGCAGCCTATTTACAAAGTAAAAGCATGTGAATACAGTCTTTCAGTGTGCTTTCAGGTGTTGCTATCATATTTCGGTCAGTGATATTGCAGAGAATCAAGTTCCATTTTGACTGTGGGACATTTCAGTGTGTTAATGCACCTTCCTGTGCAGTCTAGTTTGTGCTTGAACGATTGTTTCACCCAGAAGACTGAACATGAGATGACACAAAAGGACGTCTCAAGTCTAATTAGCAAATACCATTGTGGTAATATAGCATTGTCAAGACCACGCTAAACACAAACGGACTGGACTGTACTTTTTGGGACTCTGATAAATGCATGTTAATAATTGTTGAGTTTTTTTCTGGAAAACTAGAATATTGTTTAGTTGCGCTGTGCAATAATAAGTAATACATTTTTCTTTTACAGCATCCAGTTACATTTATAGTGAACAAAAAATGTAGCAATTGCACAATCACAAATGTCAGAGTGGACGAATCACCGTTTCACAACTTGCTAGTTTCAGTTTTGTGTTTGAATATGCAAAAGTAGTTCTCAGCTGACTTATTTATTGTTCTTACAGTTTTCCCTCACTTGTATAAATGTATATACTGTATGTTGTAAATGTTTTGGACTAGATGTGGTTGTAAAGGGGTATGTTGATTCAAAATGTTGTATCTCCTGTTCGAACCAAAAGTAAAGAACTTAATGATAAATCTGGTAAAAACTCACACCCATGGTAATTCATAGTCATGTATATTTTTAATGGCTATGATAATGTGATGACCTCTAGTTTAGTATACGCTTATCATTTCATTGTTTAAAATTTGCTTAATGGGCTTTGGTATTAATTGTGTGTATTCATGAAAGCTAATGGAAATCACAGTCAACACGTAAGATCAGAAGTTAGACATTGTATCCATTACTTTTTCAGGAAATACTGTAATTCTTGTATAGAAACATGTTGCAAAACAGGTGAGAGACAAACTATCAAAAACAGTATTATATCTTAATAACTGGGATCTAATCGTAATTGTGAATAATACATTAAGAATAGCATCCCTGTTTACCAAGACATTAGAAAAGACCGTAGCATTTTTGTCCTTCTCTGTGTATATTTGAAAACCTTGCAGGGCAAGGTCCTCACATATTGATGACCATAGCTAGTTGTGTACCTAGTATGTATCTTCATGGCACTTGTTTGTGGATATTTAATAGCAACATTCCAGTTTTATGTCTAGATTGACATCCATAATGATTAATCATGGTGCAATTCTAGTAACAGTGTCAAAAATGTGTTTGTAGTAACTACTTGACTTTGTAACATGATAATTTGTACCTGTTTTATATCCATTTTCTTTACAAAAGCCTTCTCACTTACAAAGATAAACATACTTTCACCCACTAACCACCAACTGGTCAAATAAGAGCACTTTAATGCTTTAAAAGTAAAGCAGTTTAGGATTATTTGTGCTTATGATCAGTATTATGCATAACCACAATGTGAATAGAAATAGTGCTTGTTTTAATATACCTGATAAGGTTGTTTTTTTTGTCACCAGTTTTGTAAAGATTAATACGTGTACCTATATGACTACTGCTGTTCATCTGTGTCCAGAAAAGATTGTTAAGTACAGTGTTTTATTTTTCTTTCTTAAAATCTTAGATATTAAAATATTTGCCTTCCTCTGAGGGACTGTTTTAATGTATCCATTTTTTTTATATTTATTTATTTTACTCGTGATTTTTAACAAAAACATACGGGCAGGTTGGAAAGCCATGTTTTCTATAAAAGGTTGTTTTCTTTAAAAATTAGTAAAATTACACCATTTATCATAGCTAGAGACTGTAAAAACAAAAAGTATTGTTGGATTTCTGACAGTCCTTGAACACATCGTGTGCGACCAACACTTCCATCAGAAAAAAACAAAACAAAAAAACAACCAAATCTGAGCTTTAAAAGGTGATATGTCATCAAAATCACTTCATCTCATTTAAAATCTAGCCAAAAATAAACTGTTTGCCCTAACCACCAAAAAACAGACGCTTTTTCCCAACTTCCAGATTTTAACTGTTAAACATCAAAGGGTACGTTTTAAAAATCTAATGACTAATTTATTATAGAAGGAGCATCATGCATTTTCTGCCAGTCACATAGAGAGGGTCAAGAAAAATATTTGTACATCAGTGGAGGGTTACAAAACACACACCCCAGCCACCCCCCTCTGATAAGTAAAGAACAGTCCCTAATGTGTCTCTTTATCAAAGTTAAAAAAAAAAAAAAAAAAAAAAGGCTTAAGACTAATTACTGGTCTGAGTTTCACTTGAATGGACATTAAACTTCATTGTCAACATTGCGACACGCACCGTAAATTAGTTTCGATTATATTACTAACATAGGGAAGTGCGTTCATGTGTTTGTTCATGGCATAGACTGTATAAAAATAGGTTCATGGGTTCATGGCAATAGGCGGAAGTCTTCAATAATCGAGAGCAGTTCATCGGTTATTTTCTGGGCTCGACTATCCCTCCTGCCGTCAGCTCGAAACCTCGCGGAAGTACTGACGTGTTCACACCAGTTTGCACGAGAAGTGGCTAGTTTAGCTAGCTAGGTAGAGCCGGGTAGTGACACAGCGGCCGTATCAGGTAAGAAAAGACTGTCATTGATTATTTTCACCGTAATCGCAGTCACAACCAAGAGACGCAGACAGGTATTGAAACTAAGAAACACATTTTAAAACGAGTGTATCATTCAGTGAGTGCGGATGTGGTCAACTTACAAGAGAATGGTTTTTATTTCTAACCGGGCTAGCTGGCTAGCTGTGAAGCCGTTGGCAACGTAATACCGTATCTCCGGAAGTGAGTTGTCAGATAGTCGCATTCCTTGCTGGTATTTGTAGTTCAATATTTTCCTTATAAACGCAAATTGTAATGGAAAGAGATCGAAACATGAACTACATTTTCTTTTGACAGGATTTTAATAGACGGTACACTGCAGTCGTGTGAAATGTAGGTATATAAATGCATTTACGGGCCAAAAAGGGTCGATTGAATCCTTACTAAAACTACATAACCCACACGAGCAGTAATTTGGGCCAAAGGGCAATGTACATTTAGATGGCTAGTTAGCTATTTCTAGGGCTAATTTGTAAGCTAACGAAACTAAACTTTAAAATAATATCATTGACGAAACCTAAGTAACAGTTGTTGCGTGATTTTTTCGATACTATCCACGTCATGGTTTTCCCAAAGAGCCTGTTGTGAGAATTATGATTTATTAGCTGCCTTCCTGACTGCCTAAGCCTGTTAGCTAGGTATGCAGCTAACGTTAGCCACAACCACGAACAGCTCTACACGGTCTTGCCTCTCTTTGGCTAACGTTGCATGTCAAAAATGAGTCATTAAAAGGCCCTATAATCGCAACAGCAACACACTACAAGCTGCGATTAAGTGTATCTGAAACACAACCCCAGACTTAAGTGTTTAAGGTGGACAACCAGCTAACGTGCCAAGAAAATGTATGATCCACTCGTTACGAAGTCAACGGATGTCTGAGAAGTCCAAAGTGAACGTAGCCGAAATATGTCGCTATTGGTCGCATTTACGTTTTAACATCGTCACTTAGCTTGTTAGCTTTTACAGAGCCACAACTAGGTTTTATTCTCCAGGCCATTTCCCCTAATGCCCGTAATCTACATGTATATCATTCTGATCTCCTCTTCCACTTGTGCGTGTGTACCTGACTGTCAAACAGCTGCCTATCCTGTCCACATCATCACAGCTGAAAGAGTGTATGACACAGAGACTGCCACTAGTTTCTGGTCTTTATAGGTCCAAACAGCTTGTCCTCTTTTTAAAGCTGATCCCAAATTTCAGTAGTCATATCTTCTTCTTAACTATTCTTCCTGGATGTGTTACAGTGCCTTTAGTAAAAAGCAGGCATAATGTCTATATTGAATTGAGAGCACACCATACTGTACTGCTGCATACTGTTTATGCAGAAATATACATGTCCTCTGCAACTATTTGATCATTTCTCAGGAGCACTTTCAACGCACCAGGTGATCACTATTAGTACTATGTCTTTATTATGAATTCATGTTGTGAACTCTGTGGTATTAATGTCCTGTAACTGCCATAATCCCTTTCTATATTTACAGATCCCCTTAGGTCTATCGTTTGAAAAGGCTTTGCAGAAGGGTAGATTATTGTAAAACATGATACCATAAAATGTATTTATTTTTGAAGAATATCCAAAAATAACAAGTTCACGAACAAGTTCCCAAATTCAAGGAAATTAAGTACATTTCACAGTCATCCATACTAAGAAGTCAAACATGACAGAAGGGGAAAGTAAACATTAGTGAAGCAAATGTTAACATGTGTCTTGACTCTTTACAACGAGAATGTAGGCTGGAAACAGTTCTACCATTCTGTCTTACAAACTTGGTTACAATTATAGCCAATACACCCAAGAGTGTTAGATGTGCATGCTTGACAATGATACTGCCCACTGCAGCTTATAAAGTCTGTTCCAGTAAGACTAGTCAAGCAGCATAGATTCATGCAATACTAATTAAAATTCTTTTCTTTTTTTTTCACTGGCAGAATGTCAGAAGGGGACAGTGTCGGGGAGTCAATCCATGGGAAACCATCTGTAGTCGCTGCCTTTTTCACACGGATTGGACAGGTAACATGTTTATTACTCAGATCACACATATATCATTTCAGTAGGGGACTCCAAGGAGTTCCAAGGAGTCTGCCATGTTGTTCTAGAGTAGCTCAGAACAGACAAACCAAACACTCGCTCTAGATAGGGCCATTTGTGTGGCGTCTGCCGCCATAGTTCTTTTGGTCAGTCAGGCTAAGAAAGACATGGGTTCAAGGGTTAGGGGACACAAATTAAAATATATTCTTAAGTACAATTCGGACGGGAGTAGTTTTACATAGGGATGTGGACTAATGTCAGTTTACCACAGGATGTCTGTAATCTAAATGTCCGATTCGCACGGGACAAGAAATCTCCGTAATTCTCCCAGAGATGGGGGTGGTAAATCGGTGTGCGCCCTGGCATCACCTCCCTGTCTTGATGTGTGTGCTACGTTGCTTCCTGTAAGCATCAGCTTAAGGATAATCATAATTAATGATTAGCCCAATATGAAATATTGCCCATGATCAGGATTGTGTGTACACAACGATTAGCAATATGGGTTTATATTAGGCCTACCTAACACAACCAGAAGTCTCGTGGTTCTGAAAAGTGCTTTCTTCTTGACCTTTTTGATTGGTCTCCCACGTAGGGCTATGTGATCATTAGAAGAATGTCCATTATCACGACTGCCGACAACACCGAATGCTTCTTCAAGCGCCACCATCATCGAAAAAACACAGAAAACTAGTTCTAAATGTGGAAAAATGGTCGTAAACAGGACGTGACTAAATATTTATATGCATTTTTACAGAGGATCGCGTTCGCACAGGATTAATATGAGGTATTTTCTCTGGACCGTTTTACAGAGGGTAAAAGTTTTTACTGACATTGTCCGTAATGATCACAGATATGGCGTGTTCGGACAGGACTGAAATTCCTGGTAATAATTACTTTACCCCACGTGTCCATGTTAAACTAATCCCATCCGAATAGGGCTTATACAGTGAGTAGAAAGTTGAGCAATGATCATCATGGGATGCTCAGTTAATGTCCAGTATCACTGTATCTCCACAAAGTATTTTACCTAAGGTTGTGTCTTACTTGTCTGTAAGTTATATTCTCTACCTCTGATGGCTACTTACTGTTTCCTTGTCCTGACTGACAGGTCTATCAGTCATGGCTAGACAAGTCAACGCCGTTCTATGCAGTGCGATGGGCAGCTACTCTACTACTTACAGCTGTCTACATGATCAGAGTGTACATACTACAGGTAATTGTTAATTTCTGTATTTTTTTCCTAATATACTACAGTGCTCAGTGAAGTCAGCAGGTGTAAGCCATGAGAGTTGTAAGTAGTTGTAATAACAGCAACACAGTTAGAAAAAGAAAATGTCCAGTTTTTTGAGGCTGTTGGTGAGATATGTTCACTCACCTCTACTAATTATTTCACTAGTAGTTTGTTGTACTGGATTGCATTATATTGATGGCTCATTTAGGGCTGGGCAACATATCGATATTATATTGATATTGTTATTTGAGACTAGATGTTATCTTGGATTTTGGAGATTGTAGTATCATAGCGTTGTCTTTACCTGGTTCTAAAGGCTGCATTATAGTATTGTAGTTTCCTGAATTTACCAGACTGTTCTAGCTGTTCTATTATTTGCCTTTACCCACTTATGTCAACATAACAGATAATTATTTGGTGAAAATATCATTGTGTTAATAGTATGTAAAAGCACCAAAAGTCAACACTACATTATTGTTGCAATATTGATATAGGTATTTGGTCAGAAATATTAAAAATGTTTTTTTTCTCCATATCATTTAGCCCTTGGTTTTTGCTGATTTTCACCAAAGGTGAAAGACTGGCTGAGGGATCGGTGCAGTGACTGTGTTTTGTTTTTTTGGGTTTTTTTTTTTTTTTTTTTTTTTTGTGACTCACCTGTCTTATGTGTGATATGCATTTGAAATTCTTTGTCTACTCGCCTCCTCTGTTTCCATGAAAATGTTCTTGCTCATGCTCAGTTGTGTACATAAT